TCTGGAATAATTGATTAAAACTCAAGATAATCGATTATTTCAGTTAGAGATGTGTTTTGAATTTCAAAATTGGACCAAGTTTCGAAAACCCTATTCCCAATTCATCTATTTTCGAAAATCCCCAATTCCCAAACCCTAATCTTTCTACTTAAGGTTCTCTAAGGCTCTCTGCAAATTGAACAACCTTTTTCAAACAAAAGTTGAGAGTTGTGACTGCCAGAGAACTGTTTGTTGGAGGAAAAAGGGGCTTTTGAAACCTAGTGTGGGCTAAAAGCGATAAGAATCACTAAGTGGGTTTTCTTAGTGGATTGTGTGTTGTGCCGTCTCTAGGAAAAGTTGTTCTTCATCCTTTGTGGGATTTAAAGGAGGTGTTCATCTCTTGTGTGACTCAAGAGAGGTGTATTCTTTACCTTATCTTTTCATTTGTAATCTGATTGTATAACTGTGATTATAGTGACAGCGTTAATCCTCTGTTTGAGTGGTTAGCAACTGGACGTAGGGTCTTTTGATCCGAACCAGTATAAATCATCTGTGTAATACTCTATCCTTGTTCTATTTACTTTACACAACATTTTAATCGGTGAAATTTGGAAAAAAATTTAAAACCCTAATTTTTGTTAAGAAACCAATTCACCCCCCTCCCCTCTTGGTTTTTTCCCGTAAATGCAAACATTCCGCTGCGCGATTCTAACAGAAAGGTCTAGGAAGACACATGTAAGTTCCTTCACTTCTGATTTATTTTATGATATGTAAAGTTTATCATATAACAACATTTCTTTGTTTGTACTAATAGGAGGAATTTTAGACTAGACTTTCACAAGCTAGGTCATCTGCTGGTTCCTATGTTGGCGATGCAGAGTCTACTCCTACAGACTCTGCAGATGATGATCTTATTAGGTCTCGCTGCTGTGTAGACACTGTTGGAGGCAAAAATAAGGGAAAATTATATGGAGCTGGACAGCTTGCTCATGGTTACCAAGGTGGGTGTGATACTCTCAAGCATCAGACTCAAACATCCAGCTCCTCTGTTGATTTTGAAGAGATGAATCAACTGAGGGAATGATTATCTGCACAAGAAGAAGAGATTCATCGAACAAGGGAGCATAATGAGTGACTAGAGCACCAGTTTCGGGAGTTTCAATCACTTGTGGGTGCAGTCGTTCAATTCCTACCTCCCGGTGCACAATCCCTCATTCAGCAGCACCAAAACAGCCAACAGGATAGTCAACAACAACAAGAACACAATCAAGAACAATAGGACAACGCAGAACAATAACACAACCTAGAACAACAACACAACCCAGAACAACAAGGGCAACAGTCTCCTGATTATTCACATTATTAGATATTTTCTCAAATAATATTGTATTTTATTCTACTTTATAACCATATTTACTCTTACACATTAAGTTTTATTGTAGATAGTTTGAACTATATGTTATTTGTTTACATTGAGATTATTTTAATTATGTTTGATTTCAATTGAGGTTATTTGTCTTATATTTAAGTTGAATTTGATCTGAAACAGTTGAATTGTGGTTGGTGTTGCCTGTGATATAAAATGTATGGTATTATGCAGCGAAATTGGTTTTCTGAAAAATGAAATGGAACCTAGAAGAAATTACGATATTATCGACGGATATATCCGTCGGTAATTACCTACAACACTTACCGACAGATATATCTGTTGGTAATTACATACAACGCTTTCCGACGGATTTATCCATCGGTAATTACCTATAGCGATTTTCGACGGATATATCCGTAGGTAATTACATACAATGTCTTCCGACGGATTTATCCATTGGTAATTACCTACAACGCTTTTCGACGAATATATCCGTCAGTAATTACCTACAACACTTACCGACAGATATATCCGTCGGTAATTATCGACAAACTTTTCAAATCCGTCGATAATATTTACCGACAACACAATTATCGATGGATTTCTACCCGTCGATAATTCGTCGATAATATGTATTTACCGATGGATTTTCTTAATTATCGACGGATTTTGTCCGTCGGAAAATCCCATTTTTCTTGTAGTGCCCGGTTCCTCCGAACTGTTTTTTCAATCTCTCGGATTAAATTCTAACTCGCTCCGAAGATACCTGCCCTCTTAAACGCATAAATCAAAAGAGTAACTCAAGCAAATATTAGCAATCGACAATAATTAAGTAAAACTAAAACTGAAAAATAAAACGAAAACAGAAATAAAAATAAAAATAAAAATAAAATACTCAATAAGCTAAACAAAGAATTCTCAAAGAACACCGTTCTTCGGCAACGGTGCCAGAAATACTTGTTGAATTATTGGCAAGCGTACCAAATTATCAATCGGAGTATAGTATTTTAATTAAATAAAAGTCGATCCCACGAGGAACAATTTCAATGGAAATTCCCAATTATGCTTACTAAGTAGATTAAAACAGATTGGGTTTTGCAATAAGAGTTGAGTTGAATTTAAATGACAAATAACTGTAAATTGTTAAGAAAATATCAATTAAAGATACTTAGGATTGACTTCCTTCCTTATCCCTCTTTTGTAATGGCTAAATCAATTAAGAACGTCAATTAACCTAACAATGTTGATGCCACCTACTCAAATCATCCATGTTGATTCCTCACACATGAAATTCATACGAAAACCTAATAAATGTTGATTCCTCACACAATTAAGATATTTTCCAGCATTAAGGTTAGGGTGTTAAGAAATTGATACATTCATTCTATTCCTGGCAATTAACGTAACAAATATTCTTACCATGATCTAGGATTCAAGATATATTTTCCAATCATACTCCAAACATCAAGAATAAATCATTCCAAAGCATAAAAGATAAGAATAACATCATCAAAGCATTGATTAATATCTCAAAATATCACCATGATACAAAAGAGTTCAAAGGAAGTGCACCAAATCCTAAGAGAATGAAGTTAGTCACTCATGTTGGTCATTACAATGCTCTAATTGATAAAAAAGTGAAAAATTGATGAAGATTAGACGAAACCCTAACAGTAGTCGTACCTCCTCTTCTCCAAGACTGTTTGCTTTCTCAAAACACACTTTATCTTTTTATAAGAGAATTTGGGTCGGGTCTCGCATCCTTCATTCGCTTAAGCGTTCTTCTTTCTTTCAATTTTTCTTCAATTACTTCACAATTATAATTTTTGCTCTTGTATCAAGGTATTCTTGAATTCATCCTATATTGGGAGAAAAATAGATTAAAATCAATATAAATTAATTCAAAGTATAATTATATCAACTTTTTACCAATTAACAATACTCTTTTGTTTGGTCACTCAAAAGGATTCTTTCCCATGAATAAGTAAGGTTCACTTTCTGTCAAACTCTACTATTTTGAATTTTATAAAGATATATCAGAACGAATAAAACATACCTTTTATAGTCGACCTTCATTCCTAGTTGGTAGTTGTATAGTTTATTCCCCTTGTTTTTTTAAACGAATATTTAGCTTATTTCTGTTTTTGCCTCTTTGTTGTTTTCTTATAAAATCTCTTGTACCTTGTTTCTTTTTCACTTATTATTTTTTTTCCTTATGTTTCTCTTCACTAATAAGAAAAGGAAACCCATCCATCTCCCCTCTCCCTCCTAATTTAGGTGGAGGGCTCTAGTAGCTCTGCTACTCTTATGCAAAATTCGTACTTTTCCCTAGTGAGGACTTGGGCATCATATCTAAATTATTATCATTAGTATGGATTTTCTCATGTTGCAGTTGCTTTGATTCCAAACTGTCATAATTCCGGTGATATCTGACATCAGTGTGTTTTAACTTAGAAAACTTGAATTCTTGCTCAAATTAATTGCACTTCGACTGTTGCAATTGCACAATCTACTGTTGTTGTTCTGCTCTAACTCATGCAGGTATTACTTCATCAATAACATTTTGCTACAGTCCTCAATGTAAATTAGGAGGGGGAGGTTGATGGGTTTCCTTCTTAAGTTATGACGAGAAAGATAAGGAAATAAATTATAAGTAAATACAGATAAAGAACAACATATTTTATAGGAAAACGATTGAGGGAAAAGAACGAAGAAAAACCAGCCTATTTCATAGAAGGAAGGAAAGTAGGGTAAAAGTTTTTATTCATTTTGATACACCTTTGTAGAAACCAAAACAGGAGAGTTTTGAGAGAAAGAAAGCCTCACTTCTGCTATGAGAGAGGATCTTTTTGAGCGAAAAATAAAAAAGTTTTAAGCCCCCATATTGGTGATATTTGCTATTGTGCTCCTGGTATATTTTAAGTGGAAGATTTTTTGTTAATCTCTCGTTACGATTACATAAAGTGGGGGGAAAAGTTACATCTTGGAATAATAAATCATTTTTAGCCTTGCATTAAGAAGTTTCAATTGTTTTGTTTCCCAACATTAGGCACCTCAAAATACGCAAATCCCTGTGCGACACAAATGGTATGAGTATTTCGAAATGCGAACATTTCTTCGCTATAAGGTTTTAAAAACAGTACAAATTGACCAATCTTGACCTATAATGACAGGGTGTACAAACCTTATATGTAGCATGTAGAATAACATAATTGAATTGATTAACTAGCCTTCGTAGTTGTTGACTTCACCGACTTAATTAAGCTGTACACTTTTAACTTTTCCTGAGAAATATTGAAATATTGATGAATGTACAAAATGACAATCTTTAATCATGCTCACCCTTTAACAGTTGTCCAATTTCACAGAATAAACATCGCAAATCAAAGCGCTTCGGGATCTTCAACCCTTAGAAATGTTGACTTCTTTGAGTAGTCTATGTGAGTCTCATAACTTGTTGATTGCCAAGTCATTGGTCTCCTGAAATCAATGTCATCCAAAATAACAAGAATTTGGTTTTCTATGTTCCAGTCTCCAGTTGAATGGTGTACTTGGAACACCAAGCCCACAAAAAATACAGGCAAAACATAGGCATTCTGGGTTTTGTTAGATAACGACCTTTCAATATAGGTGATATCTTGATCCCCGGTCCATGCGATGGAAACAGAGAAACTCCATGGTATCTGTTTTCATGTTGTCCTACTTCCTGTCATCAAAATACTGAAAATAGTCATTTTGGAACAAAAAACCTTGTTCTAACTTTTTCAGAAAGTAATGGGAATATAGGCAGAAACGTAGGCAGTGAATTGTACATTTCAATTTCTCGTTAGAAGAAAGAGGTGATGAATTTGTTGATGTTTTCTTTCATCTGTTGATTAATTGCACTGCTTTTGATAGTTTGCCATTTCCTTTTCAAAATGAAATGTTATTCTGTCAGGAGAAAGAGGCTGCCGAGTCGTATGACGAATGGAGCTCGACTACTCTAAGAAGAATAAGAGAAGCCTCCCCCATTGAGTTTAAAAGTTATCTTACGATCTGTGAGTTTACATTCCCTTCGCATTATTTTCCCTCTCAGGGTTCTTTGTCTTCTGCATTTACTTCCTTTTCTGCTTAATCTAGATACGTGAAGATAGATTTGAAACTCTCGATAAATGTCTTGTACGCGAGTACCGTGTGTCCCTACGTGGAATTTCAAAGCATGTCTCCTCCAATTTCTTCGAGGTAATGATTTCTTTGTCTCTTTTCAGTAAACAATATTTTTTTTGTTATTTTGCTTTACTCATTCTTTATGCAGGGTGTTCGAGCAAGAATGGTTGATAAAGATTTTCCACCAAAGGTAAATCTAGTTTGTCCAAGAGTCTGTTAAATACATATTGTCGGAAGTTATCTGAAGCATTTCATTCCCAAAATTGCAGTGGGATCCTCCTAGTTTAAAAGAAATATCAGAGGACATGATTGACTACTATTTCTCTCCGTTAGAGTCTGAACTAGTGCTACCAACAGCTTTGCTAGAACCTTACATGTGAAACTAGCATACCTCTAAGCAATGCTCATCACTGGCAAGGGAAAGGCAAATAAGTTCTAATTTTGCTATTAAACTTCTTTAGAAAATATTTAACATATGTTTGTTTGTATCGGCATAAAAATGCGGAAGCCGCACTTTTGGTGGGGAGGGGTGATAGAATTACTACCACTCGCTCATGAAAATGTAGATCATCTACTTTTCTCACAGTTAGGACTTGAGTATTAGAGTAGACTATTCAAAATTGGATAAGAGAGCCTCAAAACTTTAAAGGTACAAATGGTTACGAGGAGGTTGAAAATTTTATATATGCACGTTTATGTTAACCGTTAGTGGTGTGTAACCATGTCTATAAAGTTATATGCAGTTTAAATTGATTTTTACATCTTTTCGCAAGTCAGAAAGTGAATTATCTGTCTATTGTAGATTTTTTTTAAAAACAATTCCGGATAAAGAGGCGTTGATGTATTTGGCAGATGCCCCATGAACCTATCGCATTCACCTGCTTCGACCAAACTTTCACCACCATCAACGGTTCCTGTCTGACTATCTGTTGGGTTATCGGATGAACTATCCAATGTTAGAAATTATTGCCCTTGGATGTGTAGTGTAGTCTAACGTTGATCATATATGCTTCTTTCGTTGTTTACTCATTTTCAGTTATATTGAAATCCCAGCGCTGTCATATACTGAAAACCCTAATCAGGGGCTCGGTCATACGATGAAACTAAAATTTATTTCCTTGTAAGTTTAAAGCAGGGATGACAACGTCTACTGTCTGGAAGGCCTTTGAGTAATTACTTCTTTAATTAGAGTTTAGTTTGGAATATTTTGAATGAACTTTATGTAGTTTATAAAATTTATTTATTATGAGCTCTTTTTAATTATTTTATCCAACACTTTTCATTTATTCTAAAAGTTTACATTAAAATTTTGCGAAATTTTATGCACTGGAAGTTGCACATTTTTTAATGTTAACTTGATTACCCACTTTCGAATCAAATATTTTTCCAAAAGATTTGTTGCAGTTTGATCTACAGCTTTATTTTGTTCCATTAATCAAGCTGTGTTCTGCAACACATGTTGAACTTAAATATCTATTTGTAGAAAACTACGCCCACTAAGATCTTTGGTCCTTGATAGAATGCCCCGGGGAAAAAGAACAAAAGGCCTTATAGTGGTCGCAATCAATTTTATCTCTCAACAAAGTTGTTTTTGGTGCACTGTCCCAACTCTCAATCAGTTCTCCATTATATTAAATCTTTACAATTCATAATAATTGAAAAGGCGTTGTACTTGTAGCGAGGCACAACAAATGTTTAGTGCCTCTTGATGTTAAGTAATAGTGTGAATATTTTTAAGAATTGGTTGTTGGACTGCTGCAGTAGTTAATCTACGGGTTTGATGACTGAGAAACTCATACTCATAACAATGTCATATATATTTTTTAAAAGCTTGGCATTCCTATTTATATATTACAGATGCGTTTTTAGTAATCTAATATGACCTAGTTTAACTTAAAAGTTTACATTATTATAAGGCTTAAAAAAATTATTAAACTTAAAAGACTTATAGGCGTAAGTACAAATTTTTTTTATGTAAGTCAGCAAACATAATAATTAAGAAATATTAAACAATTTGAATACGTTATAACAAATTTAATATAATAAAACAAACAAAATATTATTAATTATATGTCCTTAAATAGGTTAATCGGTTATCTTAAGACTTGACCTTTTTAACTGAATCGATTTTCATGAAAGACTAAATATATTTCTTCAGAAAGTTTGATCTTGTATAAGTGTAATGAGCCATTTGTTTCCTCCTCTAACCAAACTTATTTTAATCATGAATTCTAAGCCTCAAACATGAACAAAATTCATCAAAATTGATGATTTCTAATAACTTCTTGTCAGTCATATGGGAAATGTTAAAACTGATGAGAATAAGGTGAGTTTAGAGCTAAAAATAATATTTTTGAATCAAAAGACACATGAAATTGAGCTTAATCGATTGAACAACACCATAGTAATCTTTCATTCTTCTAAATTCTAACTACATTCAAATGCCTTCAACCTAGACGGCGCAAGAGGTACTCAACCTGAACCTCTTTGGTAAGAGGTATCACCCAATTTTTGTACAAGCGAGAAGCCACTGATGGATCAAACTTACGTTTTTCATTGTCTTCATTACTGTCAAGACTTACTTCCTGACCAAACACTGTGGCCTTCTTCTCAACCCTCATCCTCACCGCCTCTTCAACGCTGGTAAATGTCAACAATTTCATCAAACCTTCTCTATCCTGCAAAAGTATGGTGTACATTTTGAATATAAACCAAGGTAGCATAACAAACAAAGTTATATGTAATTGAACATTAGAGCATATTTTAACTACTGTTGATAGACTAATCAGGTCACTTGTTCTCAAGTGATTTTCCACTCATTCCTATTTGATCAATGTTACAAACTTTGTCTTTGAGACATTACAGTGTATTAAAGATCTTATGTTAACTATTGATATAACCAAGTTAAAGTGTTTAAGTGACAAATAATATTCATTTTATAAATCAGTTTTGTGGAGACGAAACTCAAATTCTAATGTGAACATACAATACATACATGAATGACTGAAATCATGGAACGAAATAAGACAAGCCAACACAAAACAATCTACTCATATATATACCTTAGCTCGAATTAAAGGCTCGTAGTCTTCAGGAGCATCCCTGAATTTCACCTCAGCTACAAACTTTCCATAATGAATCCTTTTCGATACAGCCTGCAAATATTTTATAGAATGAACTCTTAGACAAGAAACAATACGGACAAAGGACACTAGCAAATTCTCAAGTTAGACTAAGGCTCCGTTATGGTAAAATTGTTGATAAGACCTTCTAAGATAAAATCAACTTGCGTAAAATAACTTTTACAGAAACACTTTCATGTAACTTTTCTAAAAACTGCTTGGTGTATAATTGTGTGATTGCATCAGTGTTTCTAATGCATGTATCTTCCTGTTTTCACGTCCAAAGCAGGAAAACACATAGAAGCTACTCTTTGTAGTTTATGTCACTGATAACAAACTTCTTATCAAACACACTAAGGTGATTTTAATTTATGGAAGAAGTTTGATTCATTTTATTATCCTATTACTATTTAGTAAAAAAAGTTTATCTAAACATGGTCTACAGTACATGCATGAAACTATAGTTGAGTTGAAATTTCCTTTGTCAAAAGTTAAACTGTAAAGATTGCTCTACATAAACTCATTCAAAGACATGGTCCTAATGAACATCCAGAACATCTGTTACCTGCAATAATGAAAGATCACTAGCTGCAGTTTGCGCATAGTTGCCATCATCACCCGAAGTAGCAAGCAATGGAAGTAATTCGTGCAAATACATCTTCCAAATGGACTTGTTTATGTTAATTGAAGCAGCTCCAGGATGCAAAAACTAAAGATGGAATAAATTAATAGAGAAATCCTTTATCTTCTAAATTTCATGAAGTATGGCAATTGGAAAATGGTACCACAGTACCGAATTACCTGTGGGAAGGGGTAAGATGGCACACTTGATGGTGGTAAATTTTCAGGGAAGAAGGGGTTTTCTTCAGGGTTTTTGTATCTTCCAGCCTGTAATTCACCATATTATTTTAGGCCTAACATTCTTTATAATGCAAATAACAGAATACAGAAAATAAGAAAAACTCATGATTTATCTCAAAAAAAACACGTCATGATGGTCACTAGCAGAGAGTTAGTACACTTATGATGGTCATAACTCATAACAGAAGCAGAAAATTATACAGATGTTCCATCTTGTTAAAAGAAAAGTACAAGGGCATCACGTTATCAAAGTTGCCCCTTCTTATTACTGCACCTAATACAAGAGTAAGAACTGATTGTGAATTTTGCAAAATCAACCTATCCCTCCATCCACAACCTTCTTTCAACAATAAAAAAGGAACTAATGAAAATTAAGATCCCTAAACTTATAATCTAATTAACTGCCAGGGTTAGCGTTCTACTGGGACTGCTTTGTTGGAGAATTTGGTGTTCGAAGTAGTATTCAACACGAGTATGTAACTCTCTAGTCTTGATGCTAGACTTGTCTATATGGTTCGACATCTCATATGTGACTTTTTTTTTTTTTTTGTTTATTGAGAAGCTAATGGTAGCTTCCAAATCCTTATTTCTGAACCAGTTTTCAAACCCGTTGATTATCACAAGCATATTCTATTGACAACCTTTTAACATGCATTTGCACACCTACAATCTCAAGAAACAATAATTATGCCAAATTCATAGAAAGAAGAGCACATTTCATACATTCAGGTGCACAATCACTGTCACAATCATTACAAAGACATAATCCGACAACCCAACACAAAACAAAACAAGCCAAGAATAAGGTAATAGTAATAAACAGTACCTTAGCTTGAATGTCCTCTGTATTCTTAACAACAAATTCCACCAATGAGCCACAAAACCCTGGGATTTGAGCATACTTTGCATCATAGGTGTGAGAATTGGAAGGAAACTTGGCTCTCTCAATGAGACCATAAATAATGGTATCCTCTTGCCTAATCAAATCCTCCCTCACTGAAGCCAGCGTGTACACATTCCCAGAACCAGGACTTTGTTCTGCTTTGGCCATTCTACATTTCACGGCACAAATTATCAGCAGAAGAATCACCAATGGAAACCGATGCATCATGTGATCAACCCAGGTGGTTGAAATTGAAACACCCAAAAAGATCACACAAAGATTATGATTCTGATATGAAATAAATGATGATTGGGCTGACATTATATAGTGCAAGGAGATACCAATATACTCAATATAGTTAATATAATAACTCCCAAGTCAAATTCAGCGCCACCCATTCAATCATATGATTCATAATTTCATATTACATATACCACAATATCTATATACACGTTTGACATCCATCCCAAACCAAAGGGAGAGATTGTGCATTGTACAGAAAGTCAAATGGTGGAAAAAAAACCGTACCTTGAAATTAAGATGCAGGAAATGAAGTGGGGTTAGAATTAGATTGTAATTAAGAGACTCCTTTTGAGGTTTATAAAGATAGGACTATACTATATATAAGCCATAGATGAGAGAGGAAGATAAAGGGTAGAGGGATTAATAAATTGGCAATAGAAAGTAGAAGAAAGTGGTGTGTTGGTGGTGCATTGCGTGGATTGGTGGATACTTAAGAGGTTGGTTTTGTTGCAATATTCCTTCCAACTTGGAACTTGTCACGGCCTAAGACAAACGTGTGGGTCCCACACCCATGCCCGCTTCTTAACTATTAAGAATTCCTCCTCCTAACTTATCTTTTCAGTATTTATTTAGGGTTAAATATTTTTTATCCTGTATTTTTTATTAAATATTTTTTATACGTAAAAATTGATTAACCAATTTTTTAAATATATGATTTTAATTATTTTTATATTTAAATTTAATATCTTAATTTTTATATATATAAATTTAATATTTAATAACAATTTTATTAAAATAACTAAATTGCCGCATATAAAGCATAACATCCCTGGCAATTACATTAACCTAAATTATATCATAATATAATATTATGTTTACATGATAAGATTAAGATTTTCTAAACACATTTATATACATATCACAAAACAAAATAATTTATTACATTTTTCCTTTAACATCTTAATGTTAGATTAATCACTTGTAGTGGAAAAAAAACATGAAAAAAAACATATTTAACCATTTTATTTTGCTCGATGAGAGCGTAATCCTAAAACTCTAGAAATTGGATTGGTAGTTCAAAATAAATTAATTTTAAAATATTTATTAAAAAAAAAACAGTTGTTATATAATATGATCATTCACTTATTCAAAAAATAAAAGTTTAGAATTTATTTTTCATCCTTCCATTTTTTAGTTTATATAACAATTATTTTGATTATGTTAAGATAATAAGTAAACAGTTGAGAGAGAAAAATATTTTTTAAAATAACTACTTAGAGCATTATATTATCTAATGTATTATGTTTGGAAAACATATAATAATAATAATAATAATAATAATAATAATAATAATAATAATAATAATAATAATAATAAGAGAGAATAATTATATAAGTCTACAATATACCAATATATAAAAGAGTTTTTTTTTACACCTTTTTATTTTATCTTTAAAATTATAATAATTTTCTTTTACTATGTTAGGAGAGGAAAAAGAATAAAGAGATGTGTTTTTAAACAAGTTATTTAAAACAAATAGGGGAAAAGAATAATGAGGTGTTTTTTAAAAGATTATTTAAAATAAATATGGGTGTTGAAATATATATAATAAGATGTCTTAACTTAAAAAATCCGAAAAATAGGTCTTATCAAATAAAAAATTGTAGTTTAAATTAAGTTAGACTAATTTTAATTTCATCTATTTAGCTTGAAATTTATATAGATTTAAGTCCAATTAACTTATGAAGTTATGATCAATGTATTTTATAAAATTAAAATAAAAAATATTATTTTATTAAAAAATATATGTATTATTAATTATCAAAAATTATTTCTTTATTTAAAAACTAAGTATATGAATAACTATGTAATAAATATTCTAAAAAGAAAAGTTAGAAACTTTTTTTTAATATAATAATTAAAATAAATTAATATTTTATTTTATCATATTAATAAAAAAATATGAAGGCTGTTTGTTTGATTTATTGTTGTTTTTCAGGTTTTAAAAACAATTGTAAAGATAATTTTGAAAAACTGTTTTTAAAAAATAAGTTGACAAAAAACAAAAAAAACTTGTTGATAATTATATTTCTGAAAACTATTTTAAATGAAATAGCATGATATGAGTAACCATAAAAATTTGTGGAAAAGTTAGAAAATGATTTTGATAACTTTATATAGTAATAAAACTGAGTAATTTAATGTAACTATTAGAAAAACTGATATCTATTAAACTATAACAAAAATCCTAAAAAATAAAAAAAATTTAACAAAATAATTATCAAACAAGGTTTTTTAAAAAAAATATATTTTTAAAAACAATAAATCAGAAAGTCCTAAGTCTCTGTTTCTTATTATTTAAACGAATAAATAGCTCTTTTTATAATTTATATATCAAATTATTATATTTAAAATATAAATTAATTTTATTAATATAATTTAATATATAAAATGTAACATTAATTTATACCATAACCTAATCTTCATAGTTGATATATTTTAAGCTTGTTATGAAATATAGTTAATATACATGAGTATCATAAATTTTATTTTATTTTTTAATTTTGTAATATAATTTCTTTAGAAGTTAAATCTAAGATAATTTTTCTTCATTAAAAAAAAATTTGTTCACAGAAAAAATATTAAAATTTACGATTTATTATGTCATATTTATTAATATATCTTATTTTTAAAAAAATAATCAAATAAATTAAATTAAACCATTTTATAAAGTGGTTTAGTTTGATTTTTCTTAAAACGATTTATTTCCTAAAAATTTCCGGTGATAAAAATAAAAACTATATTTAATTATTGTATTGATTTGATGAAACTAAAAATTCATTTAATATTATTAAATTTTGTACAAAATATTAAATACAACCTATTTTTATAAAATAGAAGATTAATTAATTTTTTAAATATAAAGACCAAACTAAAAAAATAAAAGAAACTTAAAGACAAAAACATATTTAACCTAAATTTTTGTTACTTAGTATAAGGATAAATTTTATTAAACAATATTAATTAACTTAAAAGTAATTTTTATAAACAATTAAAGGAATAAGATGATGAGCTAAATAATTAAACCTAATTTTAAAAAAATAATATTATATAAATTCTGTTAATCAAGTGAAGAATTGTTGGCAGTTATGCTAGTTTCTACTGTTGGAAAGTCAAATCTGACCCAGAATGAGGCAATAATATTCGGTTCCTACTATTATTCCATCATCTTTCTCTAACTTCATATTTCATTGAGCAGTTGACATTAAAGAGTTGACAAAAAGTGATTATCACATATATCCCTTTAAGTTCAAGGAAACGTGTGAATCAGGTTCATAACTTTAGGGTTTGCTTAATTCGCGGTGCGGGAATCACGTTTTAATAAAAACGAAATTTGGAATATGTTTGCAAAATTTGTCAAATCATCACATTATTTGCTTTTGCTTGTCATGAATTCATAATAAATTTAACGGATTGTAGTAATAATTAGATACCCTTTCTCATAATTTATGGGAATTATCTATGAAACAAGTTTATGTTCAGTTTTTATTCTATGCGGGAGAGAAAATTTGTTCTTAACATAATAAGTTCTAAGAAAGTTGTGATGGAAAAAGAAAAATCAATTGATACTTAACTGAAATTATTTCTTAGTTTTTGGTTATTATAATTTTCTCCTTGTTGCAAATAAAAGGAAACGGATTTCTTGTTAATTGGGGTGGGTACAGGTTGGTTTCCTTACACGTTATTCTCTCCCCATTGTTTCTTTTTTTCTTCTTTTAAGAGTGTTTTTCATAAGTTTTTATTAAAAATTAATTTAAATGTATCAATACTTTAAAAATTTTATGTAGTAAAAAATTATTGATTTTCATAATAATTATTTTAAAAATCATTTTAATTATAAACTAGTATTTTTTAAATTTTAAGTTAACCTGCTCAAATACTTAGAAGTCAACTTACCAAGTTAGAAGGATTAAGGAATAAAAAAAACTAATTCAATTTTGGTTGTAGTTTTTAAGTTGGTCCATTTTAACATATATAAATACATTGCACTTTATTGTAGAAGCTTTGAATAAAAGAATAAAAGTGCTTCATGAAGTATCATAGTAATTAAAAGAATGATATTATATTTACTTTAATACTGACAAAAAATTTACATCATTATTTTTGCTTATTTTTTTATGAATGGATTATCACTTAAAATTGATTTCCTTTACAATAATTACATAAAATATTAATTAGAGGTTGAATAGCATGCGTTTAAAACCAGGTTATCTTATAAAATAGCTTAAAAATTTCACTCATCCTTTCAACTCTTTTTCACTAATCATTTGATTGACAATGTTTAAAATTTTTATTATGTTTAAAATTTTTATCATATATAGTGAAATGTCTAAAAGATTAACAGTACCTAAGATCATTTTCAAGCATTAAAAAATTAAAATTTCATCTAATATAGGTACATCTAACTTAAAACTCAACTTAGTATCAATATCTCTTAGATAAATAACATATTTTGTAAATGTTTTTCTTGCATGTGACTCTTTACATATTTAATACTTTCTCTAATTCTCTACAAAGCAACTTCAACTACTTTTAAATTCTCTTTGAACTATAAAAATCAAGATATGGGCACAACAATACAACACCTCACAAAATAAAATTGACCGTCGTATCATAAACTATTTTGTAAGCTTAATTATTTACCGTAAATTTGTTGCATATATTTATTAACAACTAGCATTATCTAAAGTTATGAAAAATATTTTCCTATCAGTTCCCTACCTAGTTAAACATTCAAAATCTTTATTTGTTAAATCATGGTGTATATGTGGAGGTTTTATTTAAAAAAAAATAAAAATCTTATTATTCAATCTCTAATTGTTGTCAACAAAATGTGCTATTAAATAAATATGTATCTCTTTTGAGTACAATAGGTGTTAAACAAATTCAATTATGACATACATTTCATGTTTCAATTTTTC